ATATGCTGTTTTTAAATATTTTGTAATACTTCTGTCGAATTGAATTTTATGTGGTTTAAGTGCGAAGAACATGATATTTAATAAATAAAGGTAACACACAAAACGTTAAGAAAAGGACCTTTGGGCGGAATATAAAATCTGAAAGCTTTCAGATTTTTGTTTTTCATTTTATATATAATATTAATGTTAATTTTGTCAAAAAAGAACTTTACCTAAGACACAAAAATACAGCATAACGTCACTACCATTCATATTATAATCTACTCATTTCTTTTCAGATTTTTGCTCTGCTAGCATGTTTATAAGGTATTTCTCCCACTTTCCTAGTGTGCCTACGTAGTGTAGTGGTTCTGCACGCTGGGCCGGTATTCTAGAGGTCCGTGGTTCGATTCCCGGAGAAGGCGGTTGCATATTTTTCATCTTTTCTGTTTACAATTAACCTAATGTCTGTAGATGTTCTACTGGCCAGGGCTACAAATGCATCTTTATATACCAACTGCTGTGTCACTTCAAATCAAATATCATTAAATAAAATTCTAATTTTAATTTGCCGTAGCCCCTTAACTCTTTTTTTTTTTTTTTTTAATTCCACTATTTGGCTTTTCCATTCTAAAAGTAGTAATTACTTAAAATAAATACCTCTAAATTGCGTCATTTATAAATTAATCCGTGTCATACAGTTATTGCATCATGCTAATGACGCAGGCTTTGGCCAATAATAATTTAAAATTTGGGAATGGAAACTCATTATTAATCAATCGGAATAAAGTTTTACCAAACTAAACATTCTAAACCAAGCTTTCATTTTCATCTGGACATGCCGCATTCTTTGTCTCTCTTTCGTCAATGCGGACCTGCTAACTACAGCTGTTTCGTCTATCTTCGAACATATTTAAAAAATCTTAAAAGTAACGACATAGTTCTTCAGGAACTGAAACCCTTTTTAAGCCAAGTTGTTTGTTCTACACACAATGTATACAATTTTTATGAGGTTCGCATATACAGCATATTATTACGAATTCTGTACTTAGATAGGTAATTTTAGTAAAACTGCTGTATTTCCTTTGTTGTATGAAAAAGCTAAAGAGAAGTATACAGGAAAAGTTAGAATACAGGAACCAGTGCATTTAACATTGAGCAAATGGGTATCTCGGTAATTTCGAGAGATATCGCCAAGCTGACAACGGTCTTGGCGACGTATTTTGTCGCCAAATATTTCGAGAGGTCACCCAAAACTCACCCAATTTCGCGACCATTTTGCAACATTCTGGCTCGGTCTCGGTATCACCGTAATATGTAATGAAATTGAATAAATGTAATTGACCACTATGTTAGCTGTAACCGTAATTCCACCCTCGTACTGCTTTTCCAGTAATTTCGAGAAGCTGAAAGTACTAGAAATATCTCGGCGGCCGGTTGAAAACTATTTAACGCTGAATTTCAGTTGCTTAGTTATTACTGTTGCGAGTTGTTAGTTCCGGGTGAACTAAAATATGCGAGTTAGCTTTATCTTCAGATGCGCTTTGCGTTGCTTTGTGTTTAACGTTATTAGTAGTCAGAGGTCTAACTACTAATCAGTAATTAGACCTCTGTACTGCGTGGCACTGTGAACATTTGTACGAATATTTCTGCGGAAATTGTGAGATCTGTGAAATATTTCTTTTGTTAAAAAATTGATTTTATTAATCTATAATCAGACCTGTGTGCATTCAATTTATTGCCAACAATACTGTAATTGGCGCATAAAAATGTAGTTACAGTTATGGCACACTTTCATTTAACACTTTTTTTGTCATCAATTATAAAATTTGATGGCTCTAGGTACCGTTGTTTTTTCACAGTGCAAAAAATATATATACAATCATGCAGATGCTTCATTATTTAATTTCTTTAAATATTGTTAAGTTTTTCCCTTTATGTTTGGTACGTACGGGTGTAAATATCGATGACACTTAACACAATTTATTAGCTAATATTATTCAAGACAGCTCCGAAAAAACACTTTTACAGTCGTCGAAGAACTACTATAAACACGCTGGAAAAGTCAGCGACACAGCCTTCAGGCAATCAGACTATAACTGTGAAGACAGCTTCACGGCAAAGCAAAGGTGCTACTTTGGTAGACGGTTGCATGGATTTTGGCGATTTTGTTTTGGTGAGCGATACGACTTAAAACCCATTGCTGGAGAACTTATTTATGGTAACCGATACTTTGTTGTCATTTTATTTAAAAAATAATGCGTTTTATTATGCAGAAATTCCGTGTGTTAAATATTATTTATGGCTTCTAAATATCAAAAATCAATTTAATTTTGCATTTTTATTTGAAATAAAAATTGTATTGTTTATGATATTTTGTATAATTTTTGTTGTGTATGATGTAATCAATGACGTCACTTTGCTTTAAAAGTAATTGGTTTTAATATCTATAAATTTAATCTAATGTTTTAAACATTATTTATGGCTGTTAAATATTAAAATAATTTAATTTTGTATTTCGTTTTTTGAAAAATGATTTTATTATGCATTATTATTTAAATAATTTTAATTCTAGGCTTGATGTAATCAGCTCCCTGATTGTTACTGAATATTTGTGCATTATCGGGCCATTTTAAAATTTTATTACTCATGTCTTCGAATTCCTTAGATTTCATCCGAAACGGATATGTCCCTTTCAAAGATTAATGTTGTTATTGGTAGATACCAATCATCGGAATTAATCTTTTTTACCGGTAATAAACTAATTCCTGTCATTTTAGCTCTAGTTTACGAAGCGTTCTTATTTACTTATTTTAAAGTATTTGAATTTAAGTAATATTTTAATTCTTTTAAACGTTGGCATGATGAATTTTAATTCGATATTCAATTTACGTAATATTTTAATCCAATTAAACGTTGGCGCAATGTTTTTATAGTGGTATTTTTATTCTATTTCTGTGCTATATAAATGTAATAATTTAACCTTACTTTAGTATTTTATACTCATAGTAAATGTATTTATTCACATTTGCCCGCCATCTTAAAAAATCTGATGTGTACACCACATGACTTACTTGTACGGAATATGAAATTATACGCATTTTTTCTTGCATTTCATTTAAACTTATTGGATTGAATTAAATCTACTTCGCCGACAGCGCATAAACCACAATAGAATAAATGCATTTTTTAAAATTCACTCTAGTATTTGTTTACCATAGCGACACTCTGCCGCTAGATTCACTTAACAGTATTAATAATTATATAACAGTTAACTTATATAATAATTATATAACGGAAACTAAGTTAACTGTTATATATTCCAATAATTATATGAGTTAAAGCATATATTTCGTTCATATTATAACTCATAATGCACAAAATTTATATCATTTAAAGAATAGAATTATCTAATCGTTGCCACATGTTCTATTCAAATACTATAATAAAGCTAGAATGATGTATAAAAGAAATTAAGCAAACAAAACAAAAAAAGAAACAGTTTTTTCACAGACGATTGAGTATTTCTCATTTAATTAATTCAGTTCTCACTTCGCGAGAAGGCAAAAATACATAAAAACTCAAAATATCTATATTAAAAATTACGAAGTAAATCTTAAACACTTATTTCCTCGAAAAAATTCCAGAAAGAATTAAGCATGATTTAAATGGCAATAATAAATGAATGCGTTATCTTTGTTGTTGCGAAGCTAAGTTTCTCTAGATTGGCAACAAAGCCACTAGTCTCCTGTTTCAAATGTAAACATCAATGGCCGCCATAAAGAAAAGGCTTAGCGGCACTTAGACAACTTTAAAATTGTTGATAATTCTAAAAATATTGCAGACAGATTTACTAAACGCATAAAAACCTTAACCGGAAGATAAAAACAACATAATTCAATCATTTTTAAAGCAAAAAATGTACAATTTACAAACATATAAGAGTAAAGAAACTGAGATCACTGAGCCGGGTAACAGGGTGGATATATATATAAATATATATACGTTTGGTGCGGCCGATTGCAACCAAAAGACGAGGTGCACATCTACATGTTAAAGCAGTCCTATATACAAAATTTCAACGTTCTAAGGTTACTCATTTTTGAGTTATGCGAGATACGTACGTTCGTACGCACATACGTTCGTACAGACGCCACGAAAAATTCTCTTCAGAATTAATTTGAAAGCAGTTTTAAAATATTTTTGAAGGAAAAGAGTATTTTATTCTGTCCTTACGTACAGATATCACGCAAAAACATCGTTAAATTGTATTCGATAGCGGTCAAATTAGATATTTTCGTTGAAATATGCTGCCTGAAACTTTTCGCGATTACAATACTTCCTTTTTACTTCGTACAAGGAAGTAAAAACATCTTTTTCAACAAAAAATTAATCCCTTATTTATAACGATATTTATTTTTTTTTTTAAGTTTCAAATACTTTACTATGCGCAAAATAGGTAAAAACAGCCTTTTTCAAGATGGCTGAAGATTGTAAAAACCGCGCCAATAATTGCGCCAAAGTAAATTGCCAAAAATCCGTGCAACCGTCTACCAAAGTAGCACCAGCGTACAGCTGTCGATTCAGTCGTTCCCGGAGCTCAACGCACCCAAGAATAAAACTCGACGATGCACTAACTCGCGATACACTTAGACTCTCTCGACGACCAACTCAGCACTCACTGACTGACTATATTAATGATGATGGACTTGACACTGACTGACTCACCGCGTACCAGCAGGGTTTATATAGCTTTTGGTTTGTGTTCGAGAACATGCTAGGCTAAACCAGTAAGTTCCAGAAGGTTCTCCATCCGTCTATGGCATATTGCGAATTTTGTCGCCAAATGGTCGATTTCTCGCCAAATGTAACGCCAACCCTGCCATACCTCGCCATTTTCTGGCAACCCTAAACCTACTTTGCGGGGAAGCTAGCTTACTGTGCGTGGATATTTCGTAAGAATATAATGCAGGGCTCTAATATTTGGTAGCAACAATTTGAAAAGGAAACGCCATAAAATACCAAAACGAAATTAATAGCCCTTCTGGGCTAACGCGATTTGGGCTAATAAAGTGTGGAGAGGTCTTACAGGAAATTGGCTGAATTTCGTAACTGGATCAACTTACCATGTACGCACCAATGAGGAAAGCAGCATTGACTCTTTTCTCTCCGCTAGTTGATGTGTAATGAACGATCTTTTTCTTCGCCAATGTCCGTGACTGAAATAACAGAAGAGAAAATGTTAAAAAAATTTCACTGCGGAAAATTACATAACATTCTAAACCATGACATATACAATTAAATTTCAAAATGATCCAAATTTATGTTTTCTGCTCTTCCTAATACTAAACAGCAAAACCACATGAGATTTATGGATGTCAGAGTTATAAAGAAGGTTTTCCAACCTTGAAATGTCATTTAAAATAATTATGCAAAGAAATAAAAGAAAAACAATTTCAAAAAGCGGTGAATTTTTACATTATGGTACCTTGGCGATTTTTTGGCGAAACGTTGGCGACCAAACCTGCTACAGCAACCTGCTAGTTTTTCTTTTTGGACGCCATTTTGTTTTCACGAAGTAAAAGCATTTTCCCCCTCTCCCCCCTCAACATTTTTTCCAACAATCTGCTAGCCGAATTACGCTTATACTAGAACTTTAATGGAACAAAAGTGCTTAATCATGACGAAGATTAGGTGCGAAATTGGGAGAAAGTGTAGAATCGCCCACTGCTTCGCGCGTTTTTAAGAATTGCACATACACGGTAACCCTGTACACGTCGACCTATTTTCACTTAAAAAAAAAATCCCAGAATTGCACAAAAATGGCATTACGCACACTCTTGACTTTATCCATGTACACATCGACCTATTTTCACTTAAAAAGTCAAAGAAAATTGACAAAAATCCAGTTCTTACTCTTGTAAAAAGCGCCAAACAAATAAGTGGGCGATTCTGCACTTTAGCAGCGAATTTGTTTCTAAGTGCTTATTAGCTAAAATCCCCATTGGAATTTTCCGGAAAATGTCACATGACATGTCTCATGATCTCTCATTTCTCTGAGACAAAATAATCTGTGATTCGAATTGATTATTGCTAAAGTCCTACCTAGTAACCTTTATAGCCTTACCAAAAATGTCGCCAAACTACCTGTTACCATATTCTAAAGATTAGCCCAAAACGCTTACAGCAGCAGCTAGCGCAAATTACTATTAGGATGCTGTTACGTCCACAGATTAGCATTATGGATGATGAGTGCGTGGATAAGATAAAATTAAATTAACTTGCAGCTTAAAATTTTAAATTCAACAGCTTCAATACGAAAAAAAGTAAAAGAAAGCTGCATATATCCCCGGAAAAAGTTTCCGCAGAAACAAGAACAAATTCAGTTTGCGGTCTAACTTATCTTATTCTTTTTAGAAAGCAATAAGAGGATGGAATTACGGTTACAGCCAACATAACGGTCAATTAGATTTATTCAACTTCAATACAAATTACCGAGGTAACCATTTACACAATGTTAAATGCACGTGTCTCTGTATTCTTACTTTCCCGGCATAGCTTTCTCTTAAAATTTGTCTCGCGCTGCATTACACAAGGAAATAAAACAATTTTAATTATTACTCGACTAAAATTAACTATCTAAATAGAAAATTCCCAACAATATAAAATTCCACATTCATGTAAATATTTCCTGTATTTATAGTTTTTAAGCTATATTAAATTAAAGCTCAACTGTTAGAGAAAAGAGCTATGTTTACATACAAGGCTATACGGAAAGACTATACTGTTGTTTGAATTCTAAATTAATATTTGTTCGGCGTGTTATTTTATCTTAAATTAGGTGTACTTTACTTTTTTTCAAGTCTGAAAATACGAAAATGCCCAGCTGTTAACTTTCAAGAAAGCAATCAGAACTAAGAAAACTATGAAGAAATAAAGATGCGAAAACAGCGAAACGAAGGGCGGAATCACTGAAGTCGATTCTAATTAGATTAAAACGTGGTCATAATATTAATAATAGCACAATTTTTACTTCCTTGTACGAAGTAAACGAAATATTGTAATCACGAAAAATTCCGGTATTATATTTCAACCAAAATATACATTTTGACTGTTAGCGAAAGAAATTTAACAATTTTTTGGCGTGACATGTGTACGTAAGGACAGAACAAAGCATTCTTTTCCCCCAAACGGATTACAAAACTGATTTGAAATGCATTCAGAAGATATTTCTCAGTGGCGTCTGTATGTACGTATGTATGTATAAAGCATAACTCAAAAACGAGTAGCCTCAGAACGTTGAAATTTTGCAGAGAGAACTGCTATAACATGCAGTTGCGCACCTCCCTTTTGGGTTGCGCGCCGAATGTATATAAATATATTTATATATATATCCACTCTGTTATCCGGCTCAGTGATCTCAGTTTCTTTACTCTTATATGTTTGCAAATTGAACATTTTTTGCTTTAAAAATGATTGAATTATGTTGTTTATATCTTCCGGTTAAGGTTTTTATGCCTTTAGTAAATCTGTATGCAATATTTTTAGAATTATCAAGAATTTTAAAAATTTTTAAGTGCCGCTAAGCCTAATAATGTTTTTGATGGCGGCCATTGCTTGTTTACATTTGAAACAGCAGGATAGCGAATTTGTTGCCAATCTAGAGAAACTTAGCTTCGCAACAACAAAGATAACGCCTTCATTTATTATTTAAATCATTCTTAATCCTTTCTGGAATTTTTTCGAGCAAATAAGTGTTTAAGATTTACTTCGTAATTTTTAATATAGGAATTTTGAGTATTTATGTATTTTTGCCTTCTCGCGATGTTAGAACTGAATTAATTGAATGAGAAATACTCAATCGTCTGTGATTAATCTGCATGTGATAATTGTAGAATTATCAACAATTTAAAAGTTGCTTAAGTGCGGCTAAACCAATTTTTAGTCCAAAGGGGAAATTTGCTCAGAAAGACTATTAATTTCGTTTTGGCATTTTGCGTCGATTCACGATAAGCGTTGTTTTACTTGTCAAATTGTTGCCACCAAATATTATCGCCCTGTATTATATTTAAACAAATTAAATAATCAATCTGCCTGAATGTATGTGTGTTTTCCGCATTGTGATAAAACAACGGTACCTAGAGCCATCAAAATCTGAATATCGTAAACTTCCATAGAATATGGAATATATTATATGATTATCATATTTTCAGATATGATAATCCATATAATATATTACATAGAATATGGAAGCACTAATTTGAATTTGAAATTTGTTTTATTATCGATTTCATATTTTGTAACCCTTCAACAAATTTTTCATTAACAAACTGAACGATTTCAAAGCCAGTAATGGCAACACTGTACGAAAAAAGAAACATTTTTATCTCCAGCGCGCGAAACTGTGTATCGAAAATTCTGAAGATAGGCTCATTTTAAAATTATTTTCGATATTGCTGTTGAAATGACATTTATTATTTAAGTGCGAAGAACATGATATTTAATAGATAAAGGAAACACACAAAATGTTTACAAAAATGCCCCTTAGGGCGTAATCTAAAATCTGAAAGCTGTCAGATTTTTTAAATTTTATATTTTGTAAAACTTACAATTTTTTCCTCTTATCTTTTTAGATTAAAACTCCTCAGCGCTCTAAGCTCGAACCAGGCTTCTGAGCATAGGGTGTTGGTTCTTTGGACGCCCCTTTGGACGTAATTTAAAACCTGAAACATTTTTTTTTTTTTTTAAACCATAGTGCACCGAAAAATCTGCGTTCTTGCCTCCTGGTGGAGTTGCTTTTTTTTTGAGTAGAAACTCTAACTTTAAGTATATATATATTTTTAAATGTTTAAGATACTTTGAGGTTTATGTATTTTTTGACTTGTCGCGAAGGAAATAAGTTTAAATGAAAAGCAGCAAATATGCAGATAAATTAATATTCCGCACATGGAGGTCATGTGGCGTTCACATCAGATTTTTTACTTAACGTTAATCATTTCAGATATTATGCCTAATTTTTACTTCATTGTACGAAGTAAAAAGGAAGTATTGTAATCGCGAAAAGTTTCAGGCAGCATATTTCAACGAAAATTTCCAGTTTGAACGCGATCGAATGCAATTTAACGATGTTTTTGCGTGATATCTGTACGTAAAGACAGAATAAAATACTCTTTTCCTTCAAAAAAATTATAAAATTGCTTTAAAATTAATTGTGAAGAAAATTTTTCGTGGCGCCTGTACGAACGTACGTATCTCGCACAACTCAAAAACGAGTAGCCTCAGAACCTTGAAATTTTGTATGTAGGACTGCTATAACATGTAGATGTGCACTCGTATTTTGGTTGCAATCGGCCGTACCAAACGTATATAAATATATTTATATATATATTCACTCTATTACCCGGCTCAGTAATCTCAGTTTCTTTACTCTTATATGTTTGTAAATTGTACATTTTTGGCTTTAAAATGCTTGACTTAAGTTGTTCTTATCTTCAGGTTAAGGTTTTTATGCCTTTAGTAAATCTCTATGCAATATTTTTAGAATTATCAACACTTTTAAAGTTGTTTAAGTGCCGCTAAGCCTAAAAATGTTTTTGATGGCGGATGCCATGCAGAAATATTTTAAATTCACAATATTAAAAGTAACGATCAAAATTAACGAACAAATAAATAAATAAAAGAAATCTGAACGCTTTCAGATTTTATATTGCGCCCAAAGGAGCATTTTTTTTTTACGATTTGTGTGTAACCTTTACTCATGTTCTTCGCACTTAAACCATAAAATTCAATTCAACAGCAATATCGCTAAATATTGATAATTTCAAAAGAGCATATCTTTAGAATTTCCGATACACAGTCTCTCCCACCGGAGATATTTTTTTTTCCCGTACAGTGTTGCCATTGCTCGCTTCGGTGTGTATTTAATTTAATTATGGCAAAGCACACTAGGGCTACCTGCCTAAGGGAAGGGATGCTTCGTGGAGGACTTTCTAAGGTAAACTGGCTCGTTTACACGTTACACATGAGGAAAACCACGAAAACACCCATGCAGCCAGCCCGTTCGCGGGATTCAAACCTCGGACCGAACTACCAGTGTTCAGAGACTTTACCACTCGGCCGCTGTTGGGCCTGCTCGCTTCGGAATCGTTTAATCGAAAATTTGTTAAAGTTTTATGAAATATAAAATCGATAATAAAACAAATTCCAAATTTCAAATTTG